TCTCACTAGCAACAACACAGTATGAACCAAAAGCAATAAAGTAACACAGAACTTCGAAGACAACAAAAAAGGCGAAGTGATGAAATCTCAGCCGCCAACAATACTGAAATCCACGATGAAATCACAACCACCAATGACAACCACTGACACTAAAAGCACAATCACCAACGACGACCACCGACACTAAAAACACAATCACCAATAATAATCACTGATACTAAAAGCCCCGGTGAAATCATAACCACCAACAATGACCAAAAGCTCTGTCGAAATTATAACCACCAATGTCTTGGCAAAATTATGACCACAAAAGCCACAACACTGCCACAAGACACGACTCCTGCGACGACTCTTGTGACAACCCCAACAAAGAAGGATCCAATAACGACGCCATTAACCATTAAATAAAAGAAAATAACGAGTTAGTATTATTAGACTAGGTTAAAAAAAAAAAAAAAAAAAAACAGATCGATTATTATTGATGATCATCGATTGTTTATATATCAGATGATCATGGATGATGTATAGCAAAATCATCTGGGATGATTTTAAGAATATCTCTAAATAAAAAATAAAATACCTCTTCCTGTTTTTTATTCTCTTTCTGTTGAAGTGAACTAAGTCATTTTTCAAGGCTTTTTACATTTTCTTTAAAAGTTTCTACTTGACTAATTAGTTGATTTTTGTCTAAATTTCTTAAATTGTATATTTTTTTATTTTGGTAGCAAAAATGACATTTTTATGGATGCTAAAAAAAAATTTCTTCTATAGTTACTATTAACCAGAAATGATATTTTTATAGGTGCGAAAAATAGAACTTCTATTATTATATAGTCATCTCCCTTTATAATTACATGTTTTGTATACTTAATAACTTTTTTAAAAAATGTGCTTATAAAGAGGTTGTGCTTATATAGAGGTAGTTTTTTATATGTTTACTAGTAATTTGTTTTTGAGTATAAAATGTGATAAAGAGAGGTTTTTATATGATGTGATTATAGAGAGGGTGACTATAGAGGAGGATGACTGTACCAAAATTTAGAGCATCTATTTATAGTAAAAAGGGTACTATTAGATTGCTAATTTTAGTTATCGATTAATAGAAACTATAAGGTTTCTAATATTAGTTATCGATTAATGTAAATATAAGTAGCAATAAGTAATAATTATAAAGAATACTAAAAAAAAAAAATCAATAGTTGATTAGATAAAACACTACTCTTAATTACAATTTTTTGCCAAGTTTAAATAATTCTTCTCTATATTATAACTTGTTGTCACTTGTTTAAATTTATTAATATACAGCAAAATTTATTAAACATTTCAATTATTTAATAATAGACAATAAGTTGATTTATCTGTATAAATAAATTTCATTAACTTTTATTAGCATATTTTTGTTTATTGTGTGACTATTCACATGATTTCATGATCTGTAACATTCAATTTTTGATCTACTTTGATCTAAATATTGGCTAATAAAATATAAATAGTTTATTTACAATTTAATTCTGTAATTGCACAGTTTGGTTTACTTCCATAATTTTTTTAAAAATGATTCATATTCCTTATTGGTCATCAATTAAAAGAACCTTTGCGAAGCACCTGCCTTAGCAAGGTCTTTGACTGAATAAAGCTATATATCAATTGTGTTTAATATGCTTTAGTGCTTTATAAATTCTGTCTTCATGCTCATAAGAAGTTATTTTGAGGATTTTCATTATTTGATATCTAACTCATTTCCTTTTTGAGGTTTTGGATATATCCAGTCTAAGAGAAATCACATTCTTAATTTTTTCCTTTGTACTAAGTCATTTCCTTTATTACATAATTAAAAAGCCATTCAAAAGGTGTAAAAAATGATTAAGCTTAAAAAATTCTTTACAGAAACTTTGATTTTTTAAAAAATATAATTATATTAGAGTTATTATAAATATGATTATTATATAATTATTAGAATGCTAATATATAATAATTATATAATAATTATATTTTTAAATTAATAATATATTTATTATATATTTATTATGTATTAATTATATTGTTAATATATAATAATTATATTTTATAATCATATTTTTATAGATTTACCTCGAGGATAAATTAGGACATACAGTCTCATCCTAAGTCTAGCTGTTAATATAGTGGTGTTGTATAGATCCATGATGCCCTGGTGCGTATAGTGAGATTATACCCAGGTCTTAAGTTCCACATGGTGGAAGTAAGGATATGAATAGAGGGTTTAAATGAGTACCCCCCTAGCTGGGGTGCAGGTATGGCAGATAGTATAGAACCTTTGGGCGGACTACTTAAATTAGGCACTTAAAAGGTGTATGTGTAGCTATATATACTCTCATTGTATGCCAAAATAAAACTTAATGATAATAAATTACTATTGACAAAGAGGCCACCTTAATACCGAAAAAAAATAATCATATTTTTATCATATATTAAAAATAAAATTACAATAAACTTATAAAATTGTTTAAAAATTATAATAATAGTATCAAAAATTTTAAAAAATTTTATAATATTATTAATATATTATATATATATAATATGAGTTAATAAATTTGTAATTGCGATTACTATAACTGCATCCAATAAAGCCAATCAAATTTTAAGATCAGTTGTAACATGAAATCAAAACAAAAATTGTTTTTTTAAAGAAATCATTAATAACTCAAAATTTTGACTATGAAACAATCTTTTATAGTCTAACAAAAAAAGTTTCTTGCTAAATTTTAGTATAAACTGTGCTCTTTACTATTCCTAACCTGACCCTAACCCTAACCTTTAATTGTATTTTTATAAAAAAAGACTTATTTTGATAATTACATTACACCTAACATAATTACGGTTACAAATCAATTAATTCATATAATATTAATATTTTGCAAAATTGAAAGATTCTGTAAAGTTAAGTTTAGTTTCTATGTGGTTAGTCACTGAGTTAATCATATTCTAATTATTTAATCCACTTTTAATTGTATTCAGGTTGTTGCCAAATTCTATATTTTTATTATCAAAAAGATTGGTATTTCCTATTAGTTTTCGCCGAATCAATAATAAGGCTATTATCATTAATTCTAATTTGAAGCAAATTCTCAGTAATCTTGAGGCTAAGTAATTTATTCACAATATCATACTATTGTTTATTCCACACTAAGTGGATCAGAATAAAAATTAGTTTAAATTAATATAATTTTCAAGAAACAAAAAAACTAACTTTTTTTAGTTTGATTATTTTCTTTATCTTTGTTATTAATGTTTTTTTACTTATTAACTATTCTACTTGAAAGAACAAGTAAAAAATTAAGAATATTATTAAAACATGATTAATTAAGTACAATAACTATTCACTTTATATATTTAAATTCTCTTCAGAATTAAAGAAATAATTGACTTTTTCAATCCACACACTAACAGGATAAACATTAAATTTCAAGTTCTCTAGTTCTTTAATTAAATCTATATATTTTATATTATTTGTTATTTTTAATTTTCTATCCTAACCGAAAACTGTCTCTAGTTTTAAGTTTATGTTGATTCAAGTATCATCATCTACTTTTTTTTGTTGAATCTTTAAATCTAATAACAATGTATTCAAATAATTGTTTGATGAATTTTGATATTTTGAATTACTATTCGTTTCTTTGAATGGACTAATAAGTATCTCTAAAATCAAAAATACGATTTAATTTTAACTATTAAATTTACAACAGTAAAGATTATAAATGTACCATTCTTCTTTCAAAGATTGAACTTTCAAAAATATCTCTTAACATTTTTATTTCATTTTGAAGTGTTTAAATTTACAAAAATAAGTATGACACCAAAGTTTGTAATTTCAATTAATGGAGTTTAATATACCAATATTGTTTCATAAAGTAATATATAATTTTTTAATTCACTATGAGTTATTTTCTGCTACGTTTGATATTTTTGTCTTGTTTTATTTTTCTTTGAAATAATTTTGTTAACAACAATATCGTTGTCTCTAAATTCTATGCTTTTTAATTCAGAACAAGCATTATGCAAAGCTTTTATAATTAACAATAGAAGATTATCGCATTCAAGATTCATTTGTTTATTTGTTTACTTGTATTTATAACATGATGATCTAATTTTACCAGTCAATCAAAATTTTTACCTAATATAATTTTGACATACTGTGTTATATTTTTTGTTAATAATATGACGTAATTTTATGATTAACAAAAAAATCAAACACACTGTGTCATTTTTTTACAATACGAGATTACCCATCATGTAGACCGGATTTGTTCGAACAAACCAATTACAATACCTATTATAGTTAGACCCCCAAAATGCTCATAGGCTGACATTCGTCTGATTGGCTCAATTCAATTGTCTAAGTGACTAATTTATACAGTTTAAAGTACTTTTTGAGAATGTAATGTTTTACTAATAAAAAATCTCTGTAAAAACCATTTATCGCTTTGAACAAACACTTATATTTATTGTTCAAAATAATCAAAAAGTAATCAACATTCTCAAGAACTTTACTTAAAAGACAAAATATACAACTTCTTATTGGATTGTCAAATGTATACTTAGATTGAAGGTAACTGGGTGCGTTTTTGTCTAAAACTACTTTACTATGTTAGATTTCAATAGACTTTGTTATTAACTATTTCACTTTATACAGGTATAAGATTTATAATAATAGATGACCTGGGTTTAGTATTTTAGTTTATTTAGTTCCTATAGTGTGTCTAGGTTTGTTAATATAAATAAATAAACTTGGGTTTATGAATCATAGATTGTATAGTAGATTCGGGTTTATTAATATAATATCATTTTTACTCCATATTCTATCCTCTGAATATATAAAATAAATTCTTTTGTGTATATTACTAATATATAAGCCTCTTTTTATGTAGGTTTTTTTCATTTCTAAGTAATAATATTAAAAACGAATGTTTAAAAAATTTTGTAATTTGATTGGTTGATTATCATAAGTAATCACATATAGATCATTAAAAATTAGTCAATCATATGAATATTGTTCTATGATCTAAATGCACCCTTTCTAAATGCAGCATCTCTTTAAATGCACGTCTTCTTTTGGGCTAATTAATATTACATCTATAGATTTTTACCTCCCTAAATACAATATCTTTCTAAATGCACATGCTAGAGCTAGTCCTGATGACGTGCATTTAGAGAGGTCTGACTGTAATTACCGGATGGTAGATTCCAGAATAGGCCAGGTTGAGCTGGGTATTACTAAATCTGAACTCAACTTGTTGGCTCATAGACAGATATTTGTCTGATTGGCTTATATAAATTAATTGCTTAGTTAACTTATTTATACAGTTTAAAGTAATTTGAGAATGTGACATCTATATTTGTTGTGCAAAAATAATCAATAAACCAAAAACTTCATATGTAGTACTAGTTATATTAACTATATGTAAGCTTTAAATACTAGAAACAGTCAACGAAAAAAAGAAGTTTAAGATATTACATGTAAGATCTAAACCTAAAAAACTTTGTTTATATCATTTAACGTACTATTATAATAAAAAGCTTTTACAAATATGTATTCTAAATATTGTAGAGTTAAACCATTAGTAATTTTGAGTTAAAAATAAGTTGATAATATATATATAAGTATTATTGTTTTATTAATTATGTAGACAAAAAATTGTGTTATATCTTTAATAAAGGTCATAATAATAAATAAAATAATTTCACTAATAATTTATTCACGTATTAACTCTAATAGTTTGGGTTTTAATAATAAATATAACATTTATTCTACTTTATCTACCTGTTTTCTAACTTTATATAACAAGTTCTTTGTATTAATTTATTGGTTTGTAAGCTTCTTTAAGCAATGTTTTTTTCATTTTCTAGTACTAGAAAACGAAACAAAATTTTGAATAAAGAAGCTTACAAACTAATAAATACTCACAAAAGAATGGATTACTTATATTTAAAGAATAGATAAATTTGCATAAAAGTAGGTAAATGTGATATTTATTACTAATTAACCCAAACATTAATGAATCTACGTACAAGATCTATGTACAAAACATAAACTATAGCCATTAATATATGGTTAATAAGCCCAAATGCACTAAAAGAACCCACCAAATTTAAATATTAAGCCCAGACCTTCTACTACTAAGAGCTTGTATCTACTCAAATTAAACAGTTAAAAGTAAAAGTTTATCTAAATCTAACATAATAGAATAGCTTTAGATAAAACCGTTTCCAGTTATCTTTACTCTACAATATAGTCCAAGAAACGATAGGCATACTTTGTCTTCTAAGTAAAGTTCTCGGGATTACTGATTATTTCTAATTATTTTTGTACAGTAAATATAAACATTCTTTCGAAGTAAAAAATAGCTAATCAAATTTTTCCCAAGTAAAACTAACCTTTTTTTAATAGCTTTTTTTGTTATACATTTTGGTGCACTAAATCAATTATCCACATCAAGATGTTTAACATGAAAGTTGATTAAAGAAAAGTTAACCAAATCATTTTAAAATTTGAAGGTATATGAAAAATAATATTTTTAATAATTTTATTTAGTTTCTAAAAATATTAGAAAAATTAGAGTTTCTACTAATCGATAACTAACATTAGAAATTATAGCATTTCTATTAATCAATAACTAATATAGAATTTATAGAGTTTCTATTTATTGATAACTAATATTAGAAATTATAGAGTTTTTATTTATTGATAACTAATTTTAGAAACCTCGTAATTTCTATTTATCGATAACTAATATTAGAAACCCCATAGTTTCCAGTAATCGATAACTAATATTAGAAATTATAAAGTTTCTATTTTCAATATTAATATTAGAAATTTCATATTTTCTATTTATCGATAACTAATATTAGAAATTATAGAGTTTCTATTTATCGATAATAATATTAGAAATCTCATAATTTCTATTTATCGATAACTAATATTAAAAACCCATAGTTTCCATTGATTGATAACTAATATTAGAAATTATTCCTTAATATATAGACCAATGCAGGCAAATTTGCCTGCGTTTTTGCACTTTTTTAGCTCTGATTTACTTTTTTAAAATGCTAAAATAT